TGAGACAGTCTCCCAACGTCACCAGGCGCCAGGCTGGGGTGCAGTGGCGCAACCTTGGCTCACTGCAACCTCCGCCTCCCAGGTTCAAGCAATTCTCCTGCCTCAGCCTCCCGATTAGCTGGGACTACAGGTGCGCGCCACCATGCCCAGCTAATTTTTTTGTATTTTTAGTAGAGACAGGGTTTCACCATGTTGGCCAGGATAGTCTCGATCTCTTGACCTCGTGATCCACCCGCCTTGGCCTCCCAAAGTGCTGGGATTACAGGCGTAAGCCACTGCACCCAGCCCTTTTTGAACTTTAACTTCCTTGCTGTAATATGGAGGTGGTAATTGTGGTTTTAAAGGTTGGGCATCAGTGAGTAAATGCATGGGGAAGTATTTTGAAAACTAAAACGCAGCAGGAGGCATCACCATCTTCAGAGTCACCATCGCCATCGTCATCATCATTATGATGTGATGATGCATATGAAGTTATTTTTCGTTTTTTGGTGTTTTGTTTTTGTTTTTGTTTTTGTTTTGAGACGGAGTCTGGCTCTGTCACCCAGCCTGGAGTGCAGTGGCACAATCTCAGCTCACTGCAACCTCTGCCTCACAGGTTCAAGCAATTCTCCCACCTCAGCCACCTGAGTAGCTGGGATTACAGGAGTGTTTCACCACACCCAGCTAATTTTGTATTTTTAGTAGAAACAAGGTTTCACCATGTTGACCAGGCTGGTTTCCAACTTCTGACCTCTGGTTATCCGCCCCTGGCCTCCCAAAGTGCTGGGATTACAGGCATGAACCACTGCATCTGGCCTCATATGAAGATTTTTATAGCAGTGAAATTTTTCTGAATTAGGAAAATTCATTTTGCAGCTGTGTGGAGGGTGGACTGCGAACAGAAGAAAGCAAACCAATCAGGACACTGTTAGAGTACCCAGGTTAAAGATAATGAAAGTGTGATTCGGATGGCAGATCAGGTAACAGAAAGGAGTGAAAGGTAGACACACATTGCAGAGATTCAGTGCGGAATGTTAAAGTGAGCACCCATTCTGCTCCAGGCCCTGTATTAGGTGCTGGGCCACCAGACAAAAATTATACAGCCTTGAGGGGTTCATCACAGGTTAGAAGGGAGGCACAGATGTATAAACAAGTAACCACAACAGAAGGGACGAGTGTTCTAATAGAGACCTGTAAGTGGGAAATGTGGCACAAAGGAAGGCTGAGTCAACAGTGGCTTGGTTTGACCAAAGAAGGCTTCTTTGGAAAGGAGGAAATGGAGCTAGGTCTCAATGGATGAGTAAACAACCCAGCAAACAATAGGAGGTTGGGAGGTGCTACCAGCATGTGCAAAAAGCGTGGTATAATCAGGGGCTCTCAGCTTGGGAGGCTGGAGATGGCTAGAATGTACAAGGTCTTGGGTCCACTTAGGGTAGCCCAGGATGTGGTAAGTCCAGCTGCTGGGTGAACTTCAGCAAATCACTTAACCTTTTAGTGATTTCCTTTCCTCCTCTTAAAATAAGAAAATAATAAATCCTACCTTTCAGGGTGGGTATGAGAATTAAGTAAACCATGTAAAGCATTTAAAATCATATATAATATATTTTAAATGTTTAATAAATGAGAATTTTTGTTATGATGAGGGAGGGAGTGAAAGAGAAGGAATGTGGGATAACTCAAAGTATGCTGACTTGGAGAGTTTATGTTGCTGCCATTGATGGGATGTGAAATACAAGAAGAGGAAAAGTTTGCATGGTAGAGAAGTGTAGTTTTGAACATGGGGAGTTTGAATCGCTCATGAACACCCAGGTTGAGACATCTAGAGTGGGCATGTTGGACCTCGATGTGCGTTTAGACTTCACCAGCATGCTAGATGGTTTTTAAAGCCACAGTAGTAAGATCAGCCTGGGAAAAAAAAGGTAGTGAGAGGAAGGCTGAACACAAAACACCCAAGGAACAGTGAGAGAAAAGAAGCTTCAGCAAAAAAGAATGAGCATGAGATCTCCGAGAGCAGAGCTGGGCCAGCAGAACAGCTTGGGAGCCAGGGGAGAAGAGAGTTAGGAGGAAGTGAGCATTGTGTATAAGACACAGTCACAGTGCCTGCCAGTGGTGAGCTTTCAGGAAATGTTCATGCGGAAATGAGTGGGTGCTCAGGGATAGACCCCGATTAAGGTACAAAGATTAGGAGGACGGTTTCTATCCTTAAGAATCACAGCTTAGTGGTCTCTCAAAGTTTGTCTGCTGTTCCTCTCGGACAAACTGTATATTAAACAGATTTTAACCTGAAAGTGTCAGTTATAAGAAGCTGTTTGTCTAGGAAGTGTTCTTTTGAAAGTACTGTTACTCATTTTTTATGGACTTTTCATTTTATTTATTCCTGAGTTGCTGGAGGACATGCTGAAATAATAATTCATCTCTTTGGGTTTTAGTAACAGTCAGAGACAAAATACACAAATGTGAGACATTCTGTTACACAGAGGGAGTCTGTATGCAGTGTTAACATAGACATACCGGGGTGGTATGTGCAAGTCTGATATTTAATCATGAGTAATTAGTTGGTACTTCACAATTTTGGCCCCTGAGGATCATACGGTGTGAACTGTGTAAGCCAAAGCGTGATTGCGGAGGAAGCTATTGAGTGGCTGATTAGCAGTGAAATGGACTCAGGGACACATCAGAGAGTCAACGTAAGAGGAAAAAGACAATTGGTTCAATAGTTTGTAATTGATGAGTAATTTCTCTGCAAAAGAGTTGAGGCCACTTGTAGCAAAAACACATCTCCTCTCCAGTAATGAAAATGGAAGAGGAAAATCGGAAACCTTGTAGAGGAGGGATGGCCCTATGGGAGAGCCAAGGTGTAGAAAACCCACTTGTGTCTTCATGGCTTTCTTAATCAGGTAGCAACAATATGGGTAAGAGCTGACCAGGTCCTAGACAAGGTGGCCCAACTCTGAGAATGACGAATAGTTCCCTGACTCCATGGACAAAAATGCCACTGTGGACACAAACTTGACAGTCCTGCTTACCAGCCTCCTCAAAGGGAGACCAAGGCAGCAGCAGATACTTGCAGGGCAGAGGTGGGAGGAGAGAGGGACATTTTAAAGGGTCGCTGGATCCGCCTTTGCTTTCCTGGGGGAGCGTTGGTAACGGCAGAATGGAGAAGGGACACCTGGAATGCGTATGTGCCCAACCCACCTAGTGCCTGTGTCATGTGTCATGGCTTGGAAGAGGTGATATGGGGTCATGGCTTTGAACACACTTGCCCTCCCACGGCTTCCTGTGTGGGTTCTGCACCATCTGGGGTGGTGGGGAAGGTGAATGACCCAAGAAAAGAAGGGGCACCACCATTCCCAAGAGCCCTTTCATTCCAAAAGCCTGATGGAATCCCTTTTCAACACCCACCCGACTGCCAAAGGGAGGTAAGGAAATGTCCTCAGCTCAAGAGAGAGAATCTCTCACATTTCTGAAAATGTGTCAACCACTGCTTCTGTGCTTGCTTAGGTTTGGAAGTGCAGGCAAATCAAGAAATAGGGTTCAGCCGGGCTCAGTGGATCACACCTGTAATCCCAGCACTTTGGGTGGCCGAGGCAGGCGGATTGTCCAAGGTCAGGAGTTCAAGACCACCCTGGCCAACATGGTGAAACCCTGTCTCTACTAAAAATACTATAGTAGCCAGGCGTGGTTGCTCACACCTGTAATCCCAGCTACCCAGGAGGCTGAGGCAAGAGAATCACTTGAACCTGGGCAGCAGAGGTTGTAGTGAGCCAAGATCACGCCACTTGTCCACCAGCCTGGGCAACAGAGTGAGACTTCATCTTCAAATAATAATAATAATAATAATGGGATTTGGATCCAATTCATAAATGCCAAGTTGGCGTCCTGGTCATTAGAAATCAATATAATTCTATAATCATTTATTGATTGCAACTCTCTTCCAGAGGTGAGACTGAAGGTGAATACTGGAAGTGAATAAAACTACCCTTCTCTCCATCTCCCAAGGCTTAGAAAAAGTGTGTGTTAAAAAGTGTATGAAAAATTATTTCATGTCAGGCTCACACTGTGTTCTTAATACTGTGTTATAAGAAATGACACCATTCTCTCTCTGTATTTCATAGGCGTGATTTGTTTTTTCAGTCTCCATGAATGACATTTTTTATGAAGACCAAAGTGATGTGTGGACCTTATTGAGAACTGATACTTTATTTCTTATTGTATAAATAACTCCTCCAATAAAGATACCTAAAGTTAAAAGTACCTTATCCATTCCTTCGGAGACAGCCTATGAATTTTATGGGATCAAGTCCAAGTCCCCTTTGTGTGGCATTTTCCATAGAACTTTTGCTACTATATTGTCCCTTTGCTCAGGGCCTTAAATTAAGTGAAAAGAGGACAGCCTTGCAGACCTTTTTAAGGTATAAAGGGAGCATGGGGACAGCCAGGGAATCAAGAATTTAAAATTAGGAAAATAAATCATAAAAGTGGATTTCACATCTTTTAAAAAAAATGCTTTCAGCTTTTGTACATTTCTTACCCTTCTCCTACCTTATGGAGGCCTGTTTGTACAGCTGCTTTACATACCGCTGATTACTGTCTGTATCACAGTATTTGTTTTTATCCCATCCTTCAGGAGATGACCTGGCTTCCACCACTTTCTGCTATTCAAGCACCTGGCAAAGGGGAACCAACCAAATTTCCATTTCCAAATAAGGTGAGATCTTGCATCCCTCAAGAGGAATATGCTTTACTCCTGCAGGCATTTCTAGTGGGCAGTGGGTTTACCCTTGATTGTCTTTTCTTCTCTAAATATTCCTGCCAGAGGCACCTGAATCTGCTCCTTAACCATTTGCAAGCACATATGTATTCATTTATCAAACGTAGAGAACCAAGCCTCCAGTCTTACTTACCTACACTTCTCTGCAAAATGTGATACTTACTGTAATTATCATTTTATCTAAAAAACATTTGTGAAGTTGAAATGCATCTTATAATCATTTTAAACATTCAATGTGATGTATAAAATTGTATGTCCTGGATTTTTCTGGAAAGCTGTTATTAAATTAATGATGTATCTTAAAATCAATGTCTTAGAGTTGAAGACATGTGGTATTTAATTTCCCTGAATAGCTTTTTTAAAGTCTAAGATATTTTCTAGGACTTAAAAAAAATGGCTATATTTTCCAAGGAAAAGCACACCAAAAAATCGGCTACAAAATAAATGACTGTATACATGAGTCAAATAGTCTTTCTTTGATTTGAATAACTGACACATACTACATACTCATTATAAAGGATCAAATTATGCAAATGGAAAGAGACCAAAATCTCAACGTCCCTGGCACCCCAAGCCATAGATTATTTCCCTACCCAGAGATTACTATCAAGAGTTTAAAGTATGTGCCATTTTAGTCATGTTCCCTGTGCTTTATAGGTACATATATACATGTGCAATTTTTCCAATTCCTAAGTTTTGTACTACTAAAAGTATTTTTTCCAAAAGTTGATTTTTTTCACAATATGTATCATTGCTAAATAACAATATCACAGCTTCCTGGTCGGGCACGGTGGCTTACATCTGTAATCCCAACGCTTTGGGAGGTCAAGGCAGGCGACTCAGTTGAGGCCAGGAGTTCAAGACTGGCCTGGCCAACATGGTGAAACCCCATCTCTACTAAAAATACGAAATTAGCCAGGCATGGTGCTGTGTGCCTTTAATCCCAGTTACTTGAGAGGCTGAGTCAGGTGAATCACTTGAACCCAAGAGGCAGAGGTTGCAGTGAGCCTAGATTGCACCATTGCACTCCAGCCTGGGAGATAGATGGAGATTCTGTCTCAAACAAAACAAAACAAATAAATAAATTAATTAATATCAATATCACCACTTTCTAATGTGAATTATTAAAAGAATTGATCATTGCCATTATCACAAAAATAAATTCCATTCTAAGAATTGATTTTTAGTTCTCATAATAAATTGTATCTGAAGACCTTGTCAAGTGAATATATGGAGATTTTCTTCATTCTTCAAAACAGCAGCAAAATATTTTGTAGTATGAATTTGCCATAATTCATTTAATCAAATTCCTTTCAGTGAACACTGAGATGGCTTGTTATTATTACAAACACTGTTAGAACAAATGCCTCGTTGTGTACCTGCTATTGGCATAAGGATACCTTAAGTAGGAATTGTGGCTCTGGGCATCAGAAGCCACAGTTACTTTGGACTGTGTTTCAAGAGTACTTTTGGCCAGGTGTGTTGGCCCACACCTATAATCCTAGCATTTTGAGAGACCAAGGCACGAGGATTGCTTGAGGCCTGGATTTGAATACCAGCGTGGGCAACATAGAGAGACCCTGTCTCAACAAAAACGTGAAAAAATTAGCCAGGCATGGTGGCACGCCTGTAGTCCCAGCTACTTGGGAAGCCGAAGCCAGAGGATCACTTAAACCCAGGAGGTTGAGGCTTCAGTGAGCTATGATCACGCCACTGCACTCTAGCCTGGGTGACAGAGCAAGACCCTGTCTCAAAAAAAAAAAAAAAAGACAAGATAGTGCTTTTTACATATCTTTGCCAATGGTTATTATCATCTGGGTTTTTTATCGCTGTGTATGTATGATGAATGAAAAGTTGATATCTTGTTGTTTTCATTTGCATTTTCCCAATTACTTCTAAGCTTGAGCATTGACTGTTTTTCCTTTGCAAATTGCCTTTTCATTACCCATTGCCACTTTTTGAAAACTGATTTGTAGGAACTCCTTAACTCTTATTCATTTATCTATTATATATGATGCAATTACTTTCTTGCAAACCTTTTTATCTGCCTTTTATACTAGCAAAGTGTTTAATTTTTCTGTCAGAGAACAAAGATCTTTCCTGCTCCAACGTTCTAACAATGTTCTCTATTTTATTCTAATTCTTTTATCCTTTTTTTTTAGTTGTAGATTCATGATGTAGGATTCTAGTTTCCTTCTTTTCAATGGTCAGTAAGTTTTTATAATACTATCAGTGTAACAGCCCATTCTCCCACCACTGGTTTGAAGTGTCAGTAGTTGAGTTTCTCATAAATACCTGGATTTGTTTCAGGACTCTCTATTCTGTTTCTTGACATGTTTATCTAATTCTTTCCCAAGGACTCATTGTTTAAATCAGAGATCAAGAAGCTTTTTCTGTGAAGGATCAGACAGTAAATAGTTAAGGCTTTGTAGGCAACACCACAATGAATGAAATGTGGCATCTCATTGGTGGGATCCACACGAGAACCCATGTGAAGTTCCTAGGCTTCTAGCCCTTTCATTCAGTACAGGGGAATTTAGCTGAGTAGTTTGTTCAGTATGTACTTCCAGCGGCATCCTGCCGTCCTTATAATAAAATGCACAATTCTTACAATCTTTGCACATAATCTAGCCAAAATAATGCAGACCCAAAATAGAATCATACACATTTATGTTATGAATAGGTATCATGGTATAAGTACAACTTTTGATATAACTGGGCACATGCCAAAGCAGTTTGTTGTGACTTTTCCAAAAATACTGTACCAGTTTGTTTTGTTTTGTTTCATAGAGATACTTAAGTGCAAGTAACAACTTGACTTCTGAGGTAAAATTAAGACTTTTAATAATTAGTACAACAATTTCATTTTTTAGCTCTATTGAGATATAACTGACAAATAAAAATTTATATATTTAAGGTAAACAACTTGATTTTTTGATATTGTGAAATAATCACCACAATCAAGCTAATTAATATCTCAATAACCTCACATAGTACCATTTTCTTTTCTTTTCTTTTCTTTTCTTTTCTTTTTCTTTTCTTTTCTTTTCTTTTGATGGTGATGAGAACATTACCTCCTAGCATATTTCTAAAGATCTACCCTCTTAGCAAATTTCAAGTATACATTCTTGTTAACTAGTCACATTTCTGATCGCCATATATTTTCATTCACACACATATATGTACACACACACACACACACACACACAGAGCATACACATGAGCATAGACTGTACTGAGTGAACTAAACCAGACACAGAAAGACAAATACTGTATGTCATGACCAATATGGAGACTCTAAAATGGACACACAGAAGTGGTGAGAAGAATGGCGGTTGCCAGGGGCTGGGGGAGGGGACAATGGGAGTGTTAGTCAAAGGATACAAAGCATTATTTATGCAAGATAAATAAGTTCTGGAGATCCCATGCACAGAAATATGACTATAGTTAAAATTTTGTATTTTGAAGTTGGAAAACAGGCTGGGCGTGTTAGCTGAGGCCTATAATCCCAACACTTTGGGAGGCCAAGGTGGGCAGATCACCTGAGGTCAGGAGTCTGAAACCAGCCTGGCCACTATGGCGAAACCTCATCTCTACCAAAAACACAAAAATCAGCTGGGTGTGGTGCTGCCCACCTGTAATACTAGCTACTCAGGAGGCTGAGGTAGGAAGATGACTTGAACCTGGGAGGCAGAGGTTGCAGTGAGCTGAGTTCCTGCCACCATACTCCAACCTGGGCAACAAGAGTGAAACTATGTCTCAAAAAAAAAAAAAAAAAAGACAGAAAACAAGAAGTATTTTATTTTTCACTCAAAAAAATACATTACAGCTAGTGCTTGACTTACAACCACGGTCGGGACCACGGACAGGTCGTAACACGATTTGGTCGTAAGTTGAGCAGGCTATATGTACAGTTGAAATGGTGCACGCGGAAATGGTAGTGCTGCCGGAAGCTGGTCCGCACTGTCGTACGCCCAGCTGGGCAACGTTTGCGCTGCCAGACGCGGAGCAGTCATGGCTAGCGATTGTGGTCTTAAAGTCGAATGGTCGTATGTTGCATAGGTCGTAAGTCGATCAATACCTGTATTATCTATCATGTGGGGCACAGAATTTCAAATTTAAATGAAAAAAAAGTGTCTTATTTAAGACCACTATAGGATTTGCATGGAGCTATTTCATTTCTAGATCTTTTCGCCTTGCCCTTGAAAGAAAGAATAAGTGACTTTACAAAGTGTAGGAGCACTGCGGATTTTAATAATGCCTTTTTTCAAAAACTCACTATGAATACTGATAATGTATCTTGTACCAATGAAGCAAGACTGCTTGAGTTTCCTATTTCTATTATAACAAATTGCCGAAAACTTAGTGACTTCAGACAACACCCATTTATTATCTAACATTTCTGGTGGTTAGAAGTCTGAAATCTGTGTCACTGAGCTAAAATCAAGGCATCAGCAGAGCTGCAATCATACTGAAGGTGCCAGGGAAAGATTTATTTTCTTGCTGTTGCTAGTATCTAGAGGCGGCCACTGTTCCATGGCTCATGACTCACATCACTGTGACTTCCACCTCCCTCTTACCCTTCCACATCTGCTTGAACTCTCCTGCCTCCTTCTTTCCCTATAAAGACCCTTGTGATTATATTGGGCCTGCCCAGATGATCTCCCACCTCCAAATCATTAATCACATTTGCAAAGTGTCTTTCCATGAAGGTAACATAGTCACAGGTTCTGGGAATTAGGGCACAGACATCTTTGGGGGTGCCATTATTCTGCCTATAACCAAGAGTATTACTAATTTTCTCACAGAGTGCACCTCTTTTAACCTCCATCTCAGCAAATTTGTATTGACAGCTGGGCCTTGCAATTCGTTAATGAGACAATTAACGTTCGAGATGATCATCATTTCTAGTGTGTAGGAGCTAAAACTGTTTTTGG